TCTATCAGAGCTTAGCTGCCACAACATGAAGTTCAGGAGATTTTGCAGATGGGACCATGAAGTGAGTCCAGAGGTCAGTGGTGCACACAGAGGCAGGATCCCCATTATCCAGCAGATCCACCATGGTGGCCATTGCTTGGCGCTCCAGGGCTCAGCCAGGTTGGTGGCACCCAGGTGGTCACGCGCCCAGCAAACAGCAGCATCCCAACAGAAGGCAGTACTCGAGGAGGAGCACAGCACCTGAGATCACCCCAGCAGATCTTCCCCACACTCCCAGTTCTCTAGGGCCAGCACCAGATCACAGCCACTGGGATCTGCCTTGTGTCCATCCACAACAGCAGCCACTGCTCAGGACATCCAGCTTGCTCTGAGCCAGCCCAGGCAGCAAACAAGAGGGAAAGGGTTTTTTTGGAGCACTGACCTCTCCTTCCAACAATGGGCTCTGCCTCAACTCAGTGCTGGGAAGCCTCAGGGTCCTGCTGGGCTCTTGCACCACCACCACATAGCCATGATCCAGGACTGCTCCTTCCACCCACCACTCGCTTGGACAGGTCCCAGCTTCAGAGGCCCACCTCCACCATCTCCTCGAAGCCTCCAGACAAAGCTGCTGCTAACAGCAGCAACGTGGATGCTCTGAGGGCACCTTGGGCAGCCCACCCCCAAAAAGGATTGGCATCTGTGAGCTTTCAGTCCATGACCTGCTCCCTGCCTTGGAAGCATCTACCACAGACAGTCTCCTGGGCTCTGGGTACCCACCACATCAGCCTAGTCTCCTACAAGCACCATGTGGTAACCACCACCAGCCTTCCCCATGTTCTTATGAAACAATCCTGCATCCAGCCCCTGCTTTCCAGGGCAAGTCCTGCCCATAGCAGAGTCCAGCCCTCAGGGGTGCTGCCACAGCTGGAAGCATCTCTTTGCAGAAGAGCTCCGGGAGCATTGATAGCCCCTGGTGTCTCCTACTGCCCAGAGCCTGGCTTAGAGGCACCCCAAAACAAGTGGTTTACGCATCAAAGACGCAATGCAGCCCAACTCCATCACACAGGCAATAGATGAAACTGTTCACCAGGTCCAAGCAGAACAAGACAAGCTGTATCATTGCCTCTATGCTTGTGTCAAGCTCTCCCCATCTTCCCAGGAGACCAACTCTGCACATCTTTGCACCTCACAGTCTTTCAAGAGCAAAGGCAGACCTGGGCCCCCATCTTTGATGACTTCTTTCCCCAACATCACTACCACACAGAGGAAAAAAGTCTACCCAGAACGGTAGGAGAGCGAGCCAGGACTCTGTTCCTTCAGTTAGAGCTGACCACAGCAACCATCCTCCCTGCCAACCAGTCCCAGGCCAGGCCATCTTCCCTCTTCCCAAGCTCCCAGTTTCCTATGCCGCTCCCATCTCTCCCAGGCTTCCCGTTCCCTTCGTCACGGCTCACAAGACCTGTGTCCTGCCTGTGATTTCAGGTTGCAAGAGAGAAGCCAAGCTCCAGGTAGGAACTTGCTCTGTTTCAGTAACTGGAGAGGAAAGAGGTGAGATTAGACCCATGATTAAGGGCAGGGTCTGTCCCGGTATGCAATTCTGGAACAAAGTGACCGGCAAGTGCTGTTGTCTAACGTGCCCGCTAGAATTTAGTCGTGTGCTATCACTATCACGTCACTCACCTCCCCCACCGTGTGCCAGGAGTGAGGTCAAGGTGTATTTCTGGTTGCCCTCGAAGGGTCGTGGTTGGGGAGAAACCAGGTTTCTTTCACGCCGAGCGGCAGGGTTGTCTCTGCCTCGGCTCAACCGGGCTGCTCCCTTCCCACTGGCGGGACCTGGCTGAGCCTGGCTCAGCTGGGAGAAGTTGATGTAAGATGGTGCCATGCTGTGTGCGCCATGTCATGTGCTGCCAAGTTGGAGATGTGGGTTAGAAAGAAGGCCTGGTATCTCATTCCCCAGGCTCTGGTGGGTGGGTAGCGTGAGGCCCATGCACTGGGTTGCCAAGGAGATACGGGCTACAGAGATGGGCAGAAGCTTGCAAATCCCATGGTGCACCTTGGAGGAGAGATGGTTACCTTACCAGTCTTTCCAGACGTGGCTGCCATCATGCTTAACACTTCTAGGAATGGAGCTGTAGTACAGCCACTCCACTAGCTGCAATAAGGCATCACTAGGGTGTCCCATCTCCAGGGACAGCTCTGAGCTTCAGGGCTAGCCTGCGCTGGCATCATGGCTGGAGTTCACTAGGGACATCAAAGGAGGGATTTGAGAGAGGGTGGGAGGGAAGGCAGATGGGACAGTCTTAAAGTCAGTGGAGTCCCCACAGGTAGAGGCTCTTAGCGGTGCAGGGTCAGGCCACAGTCACATCTACAGCAGCCTGGTGCCTGCCGGGAGCATCACCGTGGCACGGCGGTGCTGGGAGCAGCCGCCATCAGTCTCGTCGGCGAGCAGCTTACCAACAGCCCCCAGTGCACGAGCCGAGGCCAGGCCAGCCTCGCACCATCTCCTGCCCCTCGTCACTCCTGCCAGCCCTCTGGGCAGCTCTTCAGGAGGTTGCATAGGTGCATTGCAGAGGGCGGACACCTCCTCTCCTGACCAGACTTGAACACAGAGCTGCGAGAGGACGAGCACTTCAGGTTTAAATCTTTTGCGACAAGCTCTCAGTTTAGCTACAGCCTCCAACTTCATGCCTGCTTCAGGACCGATTGCTGCGGAGCTGCTACAGCTCTGGCCATCTCCATGAACGTCCTCCAGCCAACACCAGTCTCAGGAAGAAGAACTGCAGCTGTCCTGGAGAACAACCCATGTGCCCACGCCCCCCCGCCCAGCAAGGCAAACCAGCCCCTAACAGTGAGAGAAGAGGGCTCAGCACACCAAGGCTAAGGTTACAGCTTTTAGCCCAGTTTGTGAGCAAAAGTCATCTCACTGACTTGCTCCACCCTGCCTTGGCTCTGCAAGGGAGAGGGCTCCAGCCTAGAGACCAGGCAGCTCAGAGCTGCCAGCCTGAGTAATGTTTAACCCCATAAAACTTTATTGGTAACGTATACTGCGCCAGACTGTCTCCCTGCGAGGTCACCGCCGGCTCAGGCACAACGCAGCAAGGAGCAGCTGTAACTGCGCGGCTAGCCCAGCTGCTCTTCAGAAGAGAGCTGGGTCCAGCCATGGCCACAGCCTGGAGGGGCTACACTGGCTCCTTAAGGCTTAGGGGCACATCACCACTTATGGACCTCCTTGGGCATGGAGTCCTACCTATACAGGGGGCTCCCTGGAGCCTCAGGGTCATTCTTCAGGCCAGAAGACCTCTTTGAAAGCCAGTAGCTTGCCAACTGGAGGGCAGGAACTAAGACCCCAGAGGGAGAAGATCTGGCTGAACGCCTCCTTGATACCCTCCCACTTCAGGAGAGCGGAGTTTTTCTCTCCCACCATGCAGCATAAAGTTTTGGTGTCTAACCCTTACACTCAGGGTCCCCACACAGTCACTGATGATCATCCTTGAAGGAACTGGTTTCACCTCCCTCAGCCACCTCAGCCAGGCCAGAGGGGTTTTTTTTCCTGGTCCTCCCTGCCAGGGGCAATTCAACCAGCAACAGCCCTTGGCTCCACCACTCTACACACAAGGGGCAGGGAAAGGAAGACATCTGCTCTCCCGGGCTACCCAGGAGCAGAGCACACTCCTGTAGTTGTGGGCACCATCAATAACTTTTGGAGAACACCAGCAAGCACAACCCTCCCAGTGAAGGACCAGCTTGGCTCTGGAGGTCCTTGGAAGAACAAGCCAGTGCCTGGTCCTGCCCTGGGCCCCACGTACTTCTTGCCTACCCCGCAGGAGCTTCAGCCCAACGCTAGCTCACTACTAGTGAGCTAGTCAAGATGCTGGCAGGAAGCAAGAGGATGCCCAAGGGCCAACTGAGCTGACCGTCAGCCAGGTGGACAAGGTGAGGGAGCACAGCTCTTCTTCCTCTCAGTTTAAGCAGGGAAGAGTGGAGCTAAACACCCTGCTTGGCAGGGCAGAGAGCAGAGGTTAAGCCCTGATGCTCTGAGATCTAAGCCCAGAGTCCCACTGCCCTAGTCCCCCATGGCATTACTACAGGAGCAGAGACCAAAGCAGGCAGAGCACAGCTGGCTGGTAACACCCAGCAAGGCAGGGTCAGGGGCTCCAGGTTCTCCTGTACAAGTGCTCCAAACCAAGCACCTTAATCTGGAATTAGGACACTACTTCTCTGTTTTGGCTTTCCCTTTGCATTTCCATGGTTTCAGGGACTTCATGCTCAGCAGGGGTGTTGGTCTCAGTATATTTAATGTTTCCAGTCTCAGACCAGTACAGGCATCCCTACAACTCCAGCTGTCAGCAGGCATACCCTGGGACCCCAGGCAGCTGGTTGCACCACCACCAGCATTTCCAGAGGCTCATACACAAAGTGACCCTCTCTAGCCTGCATCCAGGGTGGCTAACACCACTGTCCCATCAGAGTTCCTCACTGTGGCAAGGCTCTGATCACTCAACTCCTGCAGGACATCCTCCTCCAGCTTCAAAAGTATTTGAGTTGCTTGGCCCAAGGGGGTCCCAGCTGAGCCCCCCAGCTTCAGCACCAAACTAAGCCTGTTGCCTTCCCTGTGGCTTCAAGGAGGACATTTCATAGCTATTTTACTTGCTGGCAGGTAGCATTTCCTCCCAGCAGTCCCACAACACGGTTCTCCGGCCACAGGGACCAGCAAAGCCAGCCAGAAATTGAGCCCTTACTTTCTGCCATCTGCCTGCCTCTCGCAGGGAAGCAGGCTGGACCTGCAGGGTCAGAAATCATCGTCCAGCTCTGACTACTCTCGGCCACGTAGACCTCTCCCCTGCGGTTTGCTCAGGGCTGGGGGGCCCCCCATGCACTTCAGCCGGGAGGAGGCTTTGCCCAGGAGCCAAGGTGCGGAGGCCAGGGTCGAACCAGCCAAGCAGAGACCCATAGGAGCGAGCACCGGGGCAGGGGAGAGAGGAGAGCCCGGTTCCTGGCACGGGACACGGGGAGTGACTCACCTGAGCGTGAAGAGCAGCGGCCGCAGCGGCAGCCGCTGGGTACGTGAAGGCAGCATGGGGGATGGCGGGGGTTAGCTCCGTGGTGTACAGTGGGTAGGGAGCCCACGCTTCTGGGGACGCTGGAATAAGAGCCGCTCCAGTCAGGTCATCTAGACAGGGGGAGACAAGGTAACAGCATCTCAGTAGCTGGCCCCAACAGCCTGCTTCAGGGACAGGCTCTGGATTTCCAACCCCAAACTAAAGCTTTGCACTGCTGTCTCAGTAAGCTATAAAATACAGCACCCCTGCAGCATCTCTGTGACCAGCTGCTCCTCTGGCCTCCCAGCCTTGCCAAGGGAGGCCAGGAACATGCTCCATCACTGCTCAGGGCCCCACATGGGCTTTGGGCAGGCTGGTTCACACATGCAGCACAGGGCTGGTGCCACAGGATGGCAGGACAGAAGACAGGGCTCTCAGCACCATGTTACAGGCTGCCCAACAAGCCTCAGCAGGGCTGCTTGCCCCACCAGGCTATGCTGAGCGTGCATGGCACCGGACTCATCCTTTCTGCTTCACACCTAGGGATGGTTTAAAGGACTTATGGTATCACTTGAGCTACCAAAACCAACTCTGCTCTCCCATCACTTCTAGTGTTGGGCAGAAGCCTTACCAGATGCCTGTTATTCTCCTGCATCCCTAACATGCTGGCCTTCCTGCACCAGGCAGGTTTCAGCCAGAGCATACGTCGGTATGGTTTCCTTTCTACCCTGGCAGCATTCCCAGGGTTGGGCATCTCCCAGGTTGGGCCAGCCACGACCTCAAAGTCCCTCCCAGCATACTCACAGGGGTCCCGTGCAATGAAGTGTGCGCCCAAGGCAGGGTGGATATTGGTGGGGTTTGGCGTGGCCATCAGCTTGCTCTTGGCCATCTTTGTGTTGGCTTTAGCAAACTCTAACCGCAAGGTCTGGGGGTTCTCTGGGTCGAAGCGGATGCCCTGTCACAGAAGAAAGCACAGGAGTCTCTCAGGGGTGAGGTTTCCAGTCCAAGCACATGCTGTGTCTATTCATGGAGCAAAGCCCAACCGAGGAACCAAGGCCATCACGCTTACAGTCACATGCCCAGATTTTTGTCACCTCACTGCAATACTCAATCTCCCACATGCTTGTATTTCTATGTTTAGCTGGCCTAGGACCACTGCTTCCAACATGAGGGACACAGCTTTGCTCCTTATGTGCAGTTCACCAACCAGCATAGCAGTGATGGCTACCAACACTGGTCAGGAAAGATCTGTCTGCTGGAGCTGGGATAGCCCCATCTATACTGGAGCTCCTATCTGCGGTGCTGCTACATCTACTGCCAGCCTGGGCAGAGACACTAGCACGTACCCCAGTGCTCAAGGCAAGTTCTACAGCAGAGCAGAACCAGATCAGCATGTCTTGCTGCCTAGATCCCACTAACTTCTGCAGGCCTACATGGGATGGAGATCATTTTGGGTGTGCCTGCCATGTTGATCATCCTCAAGTCTTCTTCTTGAGCTGCAGCAGTGTGGAAATGCTGCGAATGTGCTAAAGAGCCTGTACCAGACAGCTTTGGCCCTGCCTCATGCCCTGCCATGGAAACAGCAGCATGGGAAGGCTGGTTTCCTCCCTTTCTGAAGCAAGTACCTTCTGGTTGCAGAGGTCCCAGCAGGCCAGAGTCCAGGACAAGGATCTGCTCTGCTGAACTGCCCCACACTTTTCATCAGGGCATTTGATAAGTGAGGCTTTAACAAGGCCACTAGCACCAAGCAAGTCCGACAGCCACATGACAGACCAGCTTTGCAATGAGCCTGCTTCATTACCCCGGTGAGCTCCACCTAGAGCCTCAAAAAGCTGATGCTAAACACAAGTTGAGCTCCACATGCCTCGTTAAAGCATTACAGGGTGTCAACTGGGTATCGCCCTATGCCTGTATACGCCTGGGAACCACCTATGCCCTCAACAGCTCTCTTCTCATCTGTTTGCTAAGGGGTGGTTCCCCAGAGAAGACCTGCCTGCTTCAGGTACCCCAAGCCAAGCAGTCAAGTTAAGATGAGCCCCCACCTCAGTGCTCGGTGCAGACAGCGGAAAGAAAAGCTCCTTTAAGAGTAGCTCCGGCCACACATCGACACATGTAGGGAATCCACGCTCATTTGAACAAGGGGGGTTCTCTCAGTCTACAGCTCTTCCCCGTACAGGGGGGAGCACCTAACGGATAAGGAACAGGATTGACAGCCTGGATCCTGTTATCAGAGGCCAACTGTTGAGTAAGGAGGTGCATGCCGACTCGAAAAAAAAAAAGAAGTAGCTGTTCTTTCCCCACACCCTCAGAGGCCCTGGAGCAGTCTTCCGGCGGTCAGAAACTACACCTACACTAAGCACGGGACAGTTTGCATCCATTTGCTCAGGCTGATGTCAGCCTTAAACAGCACTCCTGCTTCCCTGGTGGGATGCTGCAGGACCATTTAGCTTCCATACTCAAGGGCACAGCTGAGACACCCTGAACCTTCCCGTGCTATGGACAAGCCAAGCATCGCTCTAGCCCACAGCTCCAGGTGTAGCTACAGCAGGACATATGCCCCCAGCCCCTCCTGGCACATCAGGTACTCACATTCAAGGCGTTCTTTGCTGCTTCAGCACCAGCCCGGCTGTCAAAGGTCACAAAACCAACTGGCTAAAAGAAATAACGCTGATTTCAGTTTGGAAGCCTCTTCCAGCTCCTCAGACTACCCTGCCACCCCCTCTGCCCCAGACAGCTTACAGCAAGTGGAAGAGACCATCTAAAGCTGCAGAGGGCCTTCAAGCAGAGCTTGAAGGGTCTTAGGTCATCGGACCAAGATTCCTGCTCTGTGTCTGCTCCCACCACACCAAAATGCTTTGGCATTCCTACACGTGGGGGCACTGCTCACCCTGGTAGCCCCCAGCAGGGGTACCCCTTGCCCACAAGGGTAACTACTGCCTTGATTAGGGTGGGACTGGGGAAGGTTTCTGGCAGCACAGGGTTTGAGGCAGAAGCATCAGGTCTCACCCAGCCCATATGGGCCCGGGCAGCAATAGAAGATATGGAGCCATTCAGCACATGCTGAGAGCTTGGGGCCACCAGGACAGTGGGGGTGAGCGGAACCCAGCTGTATACATGGTGCTGAACACAGACAATGCTTTACATAGTGAAATGGTATCGGTCCCCCCTTCCCTCCCCTCCCGGCATGTCTGGTTTTCTAGCAAAAGCCAAAAATTCACAAGCTGGAAGAAGGAGGTACCTGCTTTGAAGTTAGCTTGATCAGTGACCCTTCATAACCCTGCAGAAGGGAAGAAAGCAAGTCAGTGTCAGGTTCCTGAAGGAGCCAAGCTACAACCAAGACACGACGTGACAGCTCCAGGAGTTCCTGTAGCACCAACTCCTTCATAAGGCAGAGTTTGCAGCAAGCGTAGGTACATAACGTTTCTCTTCTTTCCCACCAAAAGACAAGACTGAGATTAGGCTAAGGGCAGAGCAGGTATCTTAGCTAGTCCATTCTGGCCCTTTGTGAAGAAATCACATTTTCTAGCTCTTCATCAAGCTATAAGATGAGCACCCTGCCTGGCTAGCGCCTAAAGAGCCCAGAGCACCCTGTGCTAGAAGAGTGCAAACAAGGGAACCCCACTTCCCCCAAGGACAGCCTATGTGGTGACCTAGTAAAGGATGGACAGTTAGGGGGATCAGGACACATGCTCAAGGAAGGGCTGGTCCAGTTGGGCAGCAGGGCTGACCAAGCAGCCTTCATCGAGCTTGGAGACAGCATGATTTCAACAGGCTCCAGGAGAGGTTACCCAGCTGAGCTCGAGCCATGGGATACCATGCTGGTTTCATAGCAGGTTCCCCAGGCTTTCACAGAAGGCCTACCTTCCCACTCCATCCTTGCTTCCCCTCTGACAGAGATCTTTGCTGCAAGGTCGGCCACAAGACAACATCTTTCCCACCAAAGACCAAATCTGAAGACCTTCTTACCTTGAATGGTCGGAAGAGTAGGTAGAGCTCTCTGGGCTTGATATCCACAGGAAGGCCACTGACAAACAGTGTCCGTACCTAGGAGAGAGGTCAACAAGGTCTACTGAAAGGAGATGCTTAGTACCAAAGTTGGAGTACAGAGCACAGTTCAAAAGCTAGGTGCAATAAGAGCAGGACACCTTGCACCAAAGGTGGCCTTGCAGTCATTAATCCTTCCCTACATTAGAGGAGCGTTGTCCAGAATAAAATACACCCAGTCCTTTCCTCCCTGCAACAAAGGATTTAGACCTTTACAAAAATTTGGTCTCTAGCAGAATAGTCTGGGTTGATTAGGGCGTGGACACCAACCCCACAGTCTGACTGGACCTTGATGATTAGAACTTGAAGAGACTGCTAGAAGACCATATGCTGCCAAAAGCACTAACACAGAGTTTGACACATATCAAACGTCCAGAAGAGACCAGTACAAACCCCAGTTGTCTCTCTAGCTCTTCCTACAGATCATAAACTAGATCTTCTTTCCTTAGCCTATCCTGGCACTTTACTTCAGCCACTGATTCAAAGACAGCCCTCAATTTTCAAAAATACCTCACTGCTATACTCGCATCTTTTGACTTCTGCAAATGCCCCAGAACATCACTGGGAGGATGATTTTTGGGTCCGCCCCAGCTCCTTCACCAACACACATCAGACCCTTCAGAAGTTGCTCCCCAACCAGCTCTTACAGTGTTTGTTCTGTTGTGCCCAGCCAAAAGCCAGCTGTGCTGCCCCAAGTCCACATAGGCTGCTGCTCTTTCCAAGCTGTAGAAGTCATGTACCAAGTCCAAGTGCACTCAGCATGTATAAGCAGAAATACAGTACCAGAGGAAGATTTCAATAGATAGTCTGTTGAAGTTATCTATAATAGTTCACATGAATAGCCAGGAAGAAGAAACAGTGTTGAAGGCTCATGGCCTGGGAGAACTCTGCTCAGCATCATCACCACCTTCTCCCTGCACCGGGAGACATTGGCCAGCAGTCTATTTCCATAGGAAGCAGCATGATGAAGCTGACAAGACTTCTTGTAAATCAGCACAGAGCTGGAAAGAGGAAGTTATGCACAACAGAGGTCACCAAGACACTAGTCATCATTAACAAGGACCAGGAGACCACAAGCACAGCTCGGCCAGCGCTGACAGATAGGCGAGGGAAGACAGAAGACTATGGGAATGAGATGGAGCTCTGCGTTCCTCGCTTCTCCTTGCATGGGGATGCCACCCACCGAGCCAGTCCCAAAGAAGCCACAAGAAGGTCATGGGGCAGCACTGATGCCCAAACGCTCAGAACAGCACCAAACAGTGCCAGACGCTTCTGAGCTGCAAAACATGCAGCAGGACCAGGAGCCCTAAGCCAGAGCCCATCTCCTGGCCTGTTTCCAGTCTGGAGTGACCCCATTACATCTGCAGGGCAAAGCACTCTGCTCCCACATTTTAGTTTTTGCTCAGCCATTTCCCCTTCCCCAGACAAAGTGGGTTGTATCCGACACCTCGTTAAACCTCTTTTGCCACCAAAGCAAGCAGCACACGCTTGTCCTGCTCCTGGGCTGGACACAGCAGCCACCTGAAAACACAGGAGCATGCAGCAGAGCCTCTGCACCCTGTAACTCTTTGGAGGCAGCCAGATTCAGACTCCTCCAAGCAGGGAAGTTTCTGCTATTTACAGGAGAAGACACACCTCCCCAAGCACCTGTGCCCAAGACAGTCCTGCCAGGTACCCTTCACATCAACCCAGGAGGCAGCTTAAGCCCTCCAGGATGGACAGTGATCATTAAAGTCTTGGGGTCCTCTGCCCCTCTTGCTCTCCATGCGTGCTGAGATTAAGGGCTGCCACCACCCTGTGAACACCCCAGTGGGTTGCTCCCACCCCACCCCAATTAGTGTGCAGAGCCCTTCTCCAGCCTGGCATATCTCAAGACTGCTGCAGAATGCAACCACTGAACATCCTTCCCTCCAACACTGGCATCCTTGCCATCCCCTCCCCTGATCCCTCAGTACGGATGGCCCTACCACACACCCCAGCTTTTGCTTTGCCCTGTCTAGGGAAGCAGGATGCTATCTGGAGCGCTCCAGAAACACTTTCCATGCTCAGGCTCAGTCCTACAGTCTCCCCACCCAGCCCAGCCCCTCGTGTGATGCTTCGGTGCATCACTCCAGGGCCACCTCATGCCCAGATGGAGCAGGCAATGGCACTGTGTCTCAGCTTGCTGGCTGCCTCGAAGACTTTGGCACTTGCACTTCAGCGTGAGCTACATGGAGCGCCTGCAGTGCATTCCCAGAAGACGCACGGCCGTCTCTTGCAGGGGAGGACTGTGCAGAGTGTGGTGGCACACATGTGCCTCAACCATGTGAAAGCACCATCCCTTTTCAATATTTCAGGATCCAAGCGTGCTCAGACCCCAGAATGGATGTTTCTTCCAAGCAGACAGAAATCTGCATCCCTGTTGGGTCTCTAAATGGTCCCATGATGTGTCGCTCGGTAAGTCCTTGCGACAGGCGTGACAGAATGGAAGATGCACAGTTGCTCAGGGAAGGGGAAGTCAGCTACTCAGAGCCCTTACAACAGCCTGAACAGAGCAACACAGGTGCCTAGGAAAGCTCTTTGTCAGAGGTAACAAGCTCCTAATGCCAGCCCCATAAGTTGCTGCCAAGGACAGGAGCAAGAGACCTTCACTCGCAGGCCAAAAGCTTCCCTTGGCCTCCAGGTCCAGTCTGTCACCATACACAGCATCAGAAAGGGGATCCCAGCCAACCCACAGCACCAAGGGCTGGCATCACCCCAAAGAAAGCCTGGGCAATCCCAAATGCCACCAGCTAACATCTTCAAACAGGGTTTCCCCAAGGGTCTCAAGACAGACTAGCAAAGGTCCCTGCTCAGAAGAGCTTGTTAGAAGCGATACGAGATCAAGCGGATGGTTTTCTGAGATCTCTGCAATTCAGCACATCCATAAATGATCTAGAAAAGGGGAAGGGGAAAGTGAGACAAAATTATTCAGGGACGGGAGGGTGAGGCTGGTGAGAGACCTGAGTGACACATTTGAGGGACAGAGTGAGGTAAGCCAGAGGGAGACTGCTTCTGCGACCGGGTGTAAGCATGGGATCAGCAGCAATCAGAAAGCAAAGGAGATCTGGGTTATCCCAGCGGAGAAAAGCAGGAGGCAACTTGCCAGCCTGAGCATCTTGCGCGCTGTGGGCAGCCCTGGTCCAGCCTCCTCCCCCTGTTCCCAAAAAGAGGAAACTATAGATGAGGGCCACAGAGTCTGGACAAGCATCTTCCAGTAGATTAACCGAACTGCGACTCTCTAGTCACCCCTTTGCAGCCCAAGTCCTGCAGGCTTTGAGAGGCCACTAGGACCACCCAGGGCTGATGAATCCAGGCTTCCAGCCCTTGCACTCAACATGCCAAGACAGGGTAGACTTCTGCTTAAATATATTTGCCCTGCTTCAACTCCCTGCCACCAAACACCAGATCCATGTAGATATTCAGCCTCCCCACAGAGGAAAAGCCACAGGACAAAAAAGAAAAATATCTG